TCCTCACCTGTGAAGTGACTGTGAACGCAGAGTTGTTCTGAGCAGCCAAAGAGCTCCACAGGTTGCTTAATCTGTCTTTCCCACGGTTTCCTCAGGCATTTGGTAAGCTACTGAAGACTTAGGGACGGGCTTAGCTCTAACACATAAAAAAACCAGTGCCTACTACCTGACATCCATATCTTATAGATGAAGCAGCTGGTGCCTGCGGAACTTAAAGAGTGATAGCTATTCTTACCAATCATAGTCATTCCTGGTTCAAGACAGCCCAGAGCCCTATCGCCAAAGCCCACTTACACAGCCCTGCCAGGGTGTTCCCGAAACCTTGCTCCTAGTCGGTCTTAATAGTACCGTGAGGTTATTCGAGGCACCATCTGCTTGGGAGATAGAGTGGGCAGTGTGGTCCATGCACGGGTCATTGAGTAGAGAGGTAGCTCCATGGTTTCTGAAGGTGTGTGGGTGGCAGGGTTGACCACCCAGGGGAAGCTTCAGAAGGCCTTCCGTGAGAACACCTCAGCTGCATCAACAGGGAAGGCCAGGGAGCAGGGAAGGGAAGGGACACACACACAGGTGAAAGGAAAAGTTCGGAAGATCCCCAGAGTGAATTCATCTGAATGAAAGCCTAGCACACTCCCTGAGGGGATCCGGCCTGGTTTATCCTGCTGTGTTGAGCTCTCCTCACAACTACCACACTCATAGGCTCCTTTTCAAGGCTTGTGACTGTAGGCCCATGTTTCTACATGGTACGGTGACCAGAATCTCAGGTCATATAGGAGCTGATCCGTCACTTAGCCTGTCGCCATCCCTAACAAAGGATTAGGATGTTGTTCTGCTCCTTTTTTTTTTTTTTTTTGGAATTTGGAGGATGCCTGAATAGAGATGCTAATTTAGCCTACCGGACAGAGCTAACATACAGAGCAGGAAGAACTCAGGATTTCGTGAGGGATCACTCACTAAAAATCTCCCTCCCGATAAAGCCATCTAAACTGTGTCTTTGATCCTGTGTCTCTTCTCTGGTCCGGAGAAATAATTTATGGGTCCCGGCTGGCACCGGACCCCGACACGTGACAACTGTAATCTACCTTCTAATGTCTTCCTCTCAAAATCCAGAAATCTGGATTCCGAGCCCAGTGCATTGGTCTTTCTCCCCACGTAAGTCCTGCAATCTTTGCCGAAGCATGAAGGGTGTGGGAGTGCTCTTTGGTCTTCGCTTCCTGCTGCCCATTGCTGGTAGTTGTGTGAAAACTGGCGTGGAGACAGCGAGGTGTTCACGGATGACTGGGCGGAGCGGGTGGAATGGAGCGACGTGAGGGACAGACAGGACACTAGCGATCCTGTGTGTCTGCTGCTGATTGACGCACAGAGGAGAACTCTTTGGTGCAACCCCCGCGCGAGCTTGGATGCTGCGGGTCGACCTACGCGCTGTTGCGGAAGTGAAGCGCCAGGGCCATGGCTACGTTATTTGTGCCTCTTACGCTTAAGGCTGTCGTGGACACTAGGGATAACGCTGTTGGCTGGAGGTTCTGAAGAAAACAGATCAAAGTCTTTGCTCGAGCGGCTCTTGCAGTGGATAAAGGCCAATGGCGCAGGCTGACTAGCACAGGCGGCTCCCGTTCCCTTACCACAGAGTGAGTGGGTCTGAGGGTGTGGCAGCAACTGTTTGTCTGCCCCAAGCGTGGCTGGCTCTCTTTCTACTAAAACAGCCTACTTGTCACTCGGTATGGGGACAAGAAGCAAACGTGGAAACGCACGGCATAACTACCGGAAACGCCGTTGGGAATGAGAGAGTCTTCCAGAGGGAATAAGAAGGCTCCCACTCTGTCCGCGTAAACACTCCAGAGCGGTTATTCTCCAGATAAGGCTAAAACTGACGTCATCGCGAAGGTTCCAGATAACTTTACACTTGAGTTTAACAAACACGTGCCTAGCCCTACTGTGTTTAAGGACACAGAGGTTGGGTTCAAAATCCCTGCATTCTAGTGGGGAAAAGGGAAACCAAATAGCTCTGCCATGTAGGACCTGCATCCTCCAGCAGGACATGGCCTCCAACTGCCTCTTTGTAGGCTATATAGTAGGAGCTTCAGAGGCTTCGTGAATATGATTGGATTTTAAAGGAAGCTTATGTCTTCAGCAAAGGAACTTCTTAAATCAGGCGCGACTGTGGTGGGTAGATGGCTCAGTCAGACTGTGTATCGGAGAAGTGGGGTCACGTTTGAGAACTGGGACTTCGTGGAGATGAGCAAATCACTAGGCATAGCCTGAGGTAAACTGGGAAGTACACAGGGATGGACTGAGCCGGAAGACTGCAGAGGAGGGGGCTGGAAGGCGAAGAGGGGATCCTATTGAGCAGAAGAGAAAAGTCTGGGGTGAAATGGGAAGGGGCCGAGCCAGGAGGGGATGCTACTCCATAGACACAGGAGGAAACTGTACACAGCCAAACTTGATGAGTTAGAAACTAACGGATTAAGTCAAAAAGGGTTTTTGTTATCTGCTGGAAAGCATCCAAGTAGCGTTCTTAGAGTCCGAGGTCACAAACTAGTGGCTTTATCTGATACAGTAAAAATAGCTACACACCTGATATTTTTATGGTTAAGGGAGAACATGAGCAAGGAAGTCAGGGCCGCGAGGGGCGCATCCACCCACTGTGACAGTGGGGCTGATCTATTGGGAGCTCACCAAGGCCAGCTGGACTGGGACTGAATAAGCAAGGGATGAAACCTGACTCTCTGAACGTGGTGGACAATGAAGACTGATGAGAAGTCAAGGACAATGGCACCAGGTTTCAATCCTACTGCATGTTCTGGCTTTGTGGGAGCCTAGCCTGTTTGGAAGCTCATCTTCCTGGACCTGGATGGAGCAGGGAGGACCTTGGACTTCCCACAGGGCAGGGAATCTGGACTGCTCTTTAGACTCGAGAGGGAGGGGGAATGGAGTGGGGAGAGGGGGAGAGGAGTGGCAAGAGGGGGAGGGAAATGGGAGGTGGGGAGGAGGCAGAAATTTTTTTCAATAAATAAATAAAAAATGGAAAAAAAAGTTTACTCTTTTGGGAAAGCTTTTAGAGGCCTCATAAGCCCAAACCTAAAAACACGTGCGTGCCATTTGGCCAGGTCTGGGTATATTTCTTTGTTTTAGGAGCATGTATACTTACCGATTTCTGGGTGCGGAATTGCTTATGGTATAATGTTTGTTTGAAAATGACGATCTTGGTGGCACCTACTTGTAATCCCAGCACCAAGGAGGTTGTCCCAGCAGGGCTGCGAGTTTGAGGCTGGCTTGGGTTATTTAGGAAGATGATGATGATGATGATGACGATTTATGGTTTGAAGAGACGGCTCAGGGGGTAAAGGTGCTTGTTGCCAAGTCTGGTGACCTCAGTGCCATCCCTGGCATCGTTCCACGCGGTGGAAGGGGAGCAGTGACTTTTGCAAATTGTCCTCTGGGCCGTCTTACATACCACCGTGTTTCCAGCGCCAGAGAGGATACCAATGCTTGCGTGCCGCAGAAGGAGCACAGGCTGCATTGCGTAAGTCCAATCTTATAGTCAGGGAATCTTCAAGACCAGGGCAAATTCAGATCACCCAGACACTTGGCAATCTATGAAGAAGCCGAGGTCAGGCTTCTGTGTACCTGACAGATGGTTTCTACAAGACACCCTTTCAACATAGGAATCAGGGCACAGCAAAATCTAAAGACCACGTCTCGTAATAGAGCCACCAACAGTCCCCATGACCTTTTGAGGTTGCTACTACATTATCAAGAGGTAGGATTTGAAAGTCCGTTCCAAGCCCACTTGATTTTTGCATAGGTAAAGAAGCAACAGCAAGTGTTTTACATACAGTTTGGCTCTGGGAAAAGCAGAGGGCCCTTGATAAACAGAGCCATCCAGTTGATTTTTGAGTGCATGTAAGCGGAGAAGTATATATGACCATCTTCCAAATCATATCGTCAGACAGTAAGATAATATATAAGCTCAGTGCTCCTTATTCCAAATGGTTGGGGCCATCGTGATTTGGATCTGGGTCTTTCTCAGGTTTTGAAATGTCTGCATAGACATACAGAGGGGCTTGAGGGTGAGACTTAAGTCTAGGCATGAATCCATAACATTCTACACACGCCTTACATGCACAGCCTACTGATAACATTATCATGTAGTTTTAGCGTATTGTATTTTTTTCCTGTGATCCCATCATGTTAAGTTAGTAGTGTAGAATTTTCTGGAATGGTATCAACTTAAAAAAAAAAATCGGGGTGAGGGTCACATTGGTACATTAGGTTTTCAGATCAGGTCTGGTCAACATGTCATTAACCCTGAGTTGTAGACCCATCTGCTTGTCCGTGCCCTTTTGCAAAGCTTTGACAACTGACTTCTCTGCTTGAAGGTGAGTTACTGGTGAGCGAGCCTGTTCTCAGCATAATTTAATTTTTCTCTTGCCCATTTAAAAAAAACAGACAAAAAAATTCTAATGAAAATTGTGAGTTTTCTTCCCTCAGGATGGCTATTAATAACCACCGAAAGCAAGGAGGATTTGAGTTATTTTAAAATATGTAACCCATAGTAATGAATTAATTATCATATAATATTTAAGGCTTTGATTATTCGTACATGAGAGCTTCCATTATTAATGATTGCTTATGAAATTAATCTTTGTAATTTTCATTATGATTCAAATTAACTTCATTAGTTGGGCTCACGACTCTCATTTTCTATCAAACTCTACTTTTAATTTCTGAAGCACTAAATGACATAAAATGTCTTTGTGGGGAGAAGAAGTACTTAAAATTAAGATTTTACTTTGATTCACTGAAGTTAACGTATTGAGTGAGCAGAGGAGCCAGAGCGGGTCTCGTACATTGCCCTCTGGCGTTTAAAGGCCTACATTGCACGGCAAAATGAAAACCCAAAGCAAAGGCGGAGCTGTGACCAGCTTCTTGCGTCTGGGGTGGCACCTTCATGCTCACGTCCCGCTTGCTCACGGTATTGAGGCTGCGGTTAAATGGATAACATTTAAAATGACGACTGAAAGAAACCCAGATGCTGGCAGCCCCGGAGAAGGCTGTGGAATGCGCATCCCCGCGACCGTCTTCCCACCGCGTAAGGAACTCAAAGTGAAACCACCCAGTACTAAACGTTTGTTCTCTTTGTCTCTAGATTTGTCACGTTTATTAGCTACCTAGACGGGTTGACAAAGGAGGCTTTAGTGAGGGTCTAGCGCAGACACGAGGAGTAATTACGCCTTCAATTAGGGCTTTGTGCCTGTATTGGGATTCTGTAATGCCAACAGCTATTCTCCATTTGGTTTAATTGAACATTTTTTTTTTTAGCCTTGTTCCTCCCTTAATCTGTACTAAAATTAGATTTAAAAAAATTCCAAATGCTGTTGGTGCTTTAGTTTAGCTTACAGCTTATGTGTGACCTTCAGGTATCTCTTGGAGTGGTTGGAGGCTGACCTGCTTGAAGATTTATTTTAATTACGATTTTTCAGATTCCAAGCAGTGTTTTGACACCCTCTCCATTTTTTTTTGTCCTATTTGATGATTGCAACCACGACCCCTTTTGGGGTCACGAACCTACTTTTGTGTGTGTGGTAGAGCTGCCTGAGGAACCCCGGGAAGGCTCCTCCTGACCAGAGTACAGGCTGCCTTACTTGGCCGCTTGAAGAATCCAACATTGGCTGACATGGTGTTTCTCAGAGTGAGTCACAGCCCGGATTAGCACGACACCTGAGGGAGCAGCCGTTTTTTTTTTTTTTTTTTTTTTTTTTTTTTTTTTTTTTTTTTTTTTTTTTTTTTTTTGAGGAAGATGTGTTTTTGCAGGGAAAGGATTTTTTTTTTTTTTTTTTCCTGAAACTGGAAGGAGGCTTGTAGACATATTAGTGGGGCTGGTCCCTCACTGAGAACGCGGTTGCCTCGGTGACCTCTTGAGTGACAGTTGACGCTAGCTGTCGGTAACTCACCACAGCCCTTCACAAACTTCCCACTTCAGTGAGGTGCTGAAAGGCACTGGGCACACATCTGAGCGCTCGCTTTCCAGACTGTGGGAAGATTTCCTAGAGAGAGCTGTGCTAGACTTGGGACTAACTGGCTTCTAGTGCTTATTTTTGGAGGACCCTTAGGGGTTTATACAGTAGGAAAGGAAAGCGCCTTGCTAGGGCTCCCCTACCTAGAGATAGTACAGCCCTGCGGTTAAACTCCAGGCTGTTCTGGTTTTGAAACTTGTGAGTACAGGGAGCTCACTAGAGAGGTACAGGGAGCATGGTTAGCCAGGCTCATTCGCGAATATAGGGAGCACGGTTAGCCAGGCTCATTCGCGAATATAGGGAGCACGGTTAGCCAGGCTCATTCGCGAATATAGGGAGCACGGTTAGCTAGGCTCATTCACGAATATAGGGAGCACGGTTAGCTAGGCTCATTCACGAATATAGGGAGCACAGTTAGCCAGGCTCAATCGCGAATATAGGGAGCACGGTTAGCCAGGCTCCTTTGCGAATATAGGGAGCACAGTCAAGCTCATTCATAGAGTACAGGGAGCACGGACAGCCAGGCTCACCGATGTCCTCTGCATCTAGAAAGCAAAGAATAAGTACTCAACAAGCATTTGTTGAGGAAGATAAACGAGTGAGAACTGGCGGAGTAACTCAAAAGTATTCAAATTAAAATGTTAACTTTCAACTTTTAAAAAATGACAGGGCCTGTCCTCGTTGCTCCGATCAGGCTCGAACATACAGACCCGTTGTCTTAGCCTCTCAAACAGCCAATGTCACAGGTATGGGCCTAGCATCTACCATTGTCTGTCTGTCTGTCTGTCTGTCTGTCTGTCTGTCTGTCGGTCGGTCCATCCATCCATCCATCCACCCACCCATCATCATCTGTGTATCTCTCTATCCACCTTTCCTTTATTGTTTATCTATATCTTTCTGTGTCTATTTCTCTCTCTATCCCTACCTAATCTTATACCTTAAAAAAAAATGAGCGCTCTAAAATTTGTAAAAAAAAAAAAACAAACCTAAAACCTATGGCTTTATTTAAAATATACTGTTTTTAAACACAAAGCAAAGAAAGCCAGCCTACAAACCACAATCCCAGAGAACTTAGACAACAACGCGGACACTAAGAGAGACTTACATAGATACAATCTACATGGGAAGTAGAAAAGGACAAGATCTCCTGAGTAAATTGGGAGCACGGAAACCTTGGGGGAGGATTGAAGAGGGAGGGGAGAGGTAGGGAGGGGAACAGAGAAAAATGTAGAGCTCAATAAATATCAATTAAAAAAATATACCGTTAAATTTGGTAGTGGTGGCCTTTAATCCCAGCACTTGGGAGGCAGAAGCAGGCCTGTGAGTTTGAGACCAGACTGATTTACAAAGTGAGTTCCAGGATATCCAAGGCTACACAAAGAAACCCTATTTTGAAAAACAAATGAAAAGGCACAGCGTGCGCGCGCACGCGCGCGCGCGCGCACACACACACGCGCGCACACACACACACACACACACACACGCTGTTAAAATCTTCAAGTAAAGACATGGAAGATGCACAGTGGAAAGTCTGCCAATGACTGACTCACCCTGGTGAATCAAAGTGGCCAGACTTCTGCCTCTCAGCTCTATAGATTCAGAACCTAAATTCTGCAGTAAATCTCTGATGTTATCACTGCCTCCCTGCTGTGCTATGACTGCTCTTCCCCTCCCTCCCCACCGTAGTATTTTTTTTTAAAATATTTTTATGGTTTATTTAACTTTTATTTTATGTGCATTGGTGTGAAGTGTCAGATCCCCTGGAACTGATCTTCAGACAGTTGTGAGCTGCCATGTGGGTGCTGGGAATTGAACCCGGGTCCTCTGGAAGAGCAGTCAGTGCTCTTAACCACTGAGCCATCTCTCCAGCCCCATCACCATAGTATTTTTTATAAATTATTTGGGAATTCCACACAATGTATCACGCTTGCTTCCCATACCTCTCAGGCCCACCCTCCTATCTTTGTGTCTTCCCAAGAAAACACCAAACCCAATTTGTGTTGCCCGTATTCTCAGTGGAGCATGGTCAAACTCCCAGTGGCCAACCCCTTAAAGGAAACCGAGTCTTTCTCCACCCCTACCCCTACCAGAATCAGTCAGCTGTGGAGAGCTATATGTCAGCATCTTTATCCTAAGCCACAAGACACAAGGTTGTTGATGCTCAGAAGATTGCGAAGGGAAAAAAAAGGCCCATTTTAAAGGTGTGGTCTTATGTCTTGGGAGCGATTAGAAATCAGAAGCCAAATGAACCTTTTTTTCTTTCTTCTAAATCAGTTTGTTTTCGGGTGAATGCAGCTGACTGACTTATACACACAGTGAAATGGTGGCTTGGTTTTCTATACGCCTAACAATCAGTGTGAAGAACAGGATGTTTCTTTCTTTCTTTCTTTTTTTAAAGATTTATTTATTTATTATGTATTCAGTGTTCTGCCTGCATGTCTGTCTGCACACCAGAAGAGGGTACCAGATTTCATCATAGATGGTTGTCAGCCACCATGTGGTTGTTGGGAATTGAACTCAGGACCTCTGGAAGGGCAGCCAGTGCTCTTAACCTCTGAGCCATCTCTCCAGCCCCAGGACGGTTCTTCAGTGAGGCTGAGAAGTGAGATTCCCATGCACCAAAACCACCACTGTTATTACCGCAGGGTGTGGCACTCTTTCCCGTGTTCACGTGGCTGTTGCTATAAGGAGCAGCAGGCTACGTTCCTGGCACCCGGCCGCCTGCCTGCACGGCTAGCTTTATACCCGAAATAATTACACGGAAACTGTATTCTTTTAAACACTGCTTGGCCCATTAGCTCTAGCCTCTTATTGGCTAGCTCTTACATATTGATCTAACCCATTTTTAATAATCTGTGTAGCCCACGAGGTGGCTTACTAGGGAAGATCTTAACCTGCGTCTGTCTGGAGTGGGAGAATCATGGCGACTCCTGAATCGGCTTCTTTCTCCCAGCATTTTGTTCTGTTTACTCCACTCACTTAAGGATTGGCCTATCAAATGGGCCTAGGCAGTTTCTTTATTAATTAACCTATGAAAGCAACAGATTAGAAAGAAATCACTCCCACATCACATGGCGTAATTGTGTTCTCCTCTTCCATTACACAAACATCCCCTCAGATGCCACATGCCGCATGGCTGGGAAAATACGAGTTAAGAACATAGTTTTGATGGATTTTTTTTCTCTGTCTGCTCTTAGTCAATTGATCTGCAATTAATGGAGCTGGGATCAAAGCAGAATTATATCTAGAAAATTCTCGACCTTTTTTTTAAGTATTCACCCAAATTAGAATACTTCTGGCTTGCATGTAGGTCTGTCATAAACCTCACAGAGCCGAAGTTTTACAGGCTTTCATCTGCCAAGCCACTCCAGGCCCTATATTAAAATTTCTTTCTTAAGTACAATTCTTTTCATATACAGGTCTCCATGATGCATAGGTTTCAGGTTTTACAAAGCTAGATTCAGCCCTGTTCAAAGAAGCCTCCCTTCTCTGCCAGCTGTCTTAAAACCATGGATGAACGGATGATTACATTTATATAGTCCCTAAAATACACCAGTACCTCAAGCTATTTAAAGAGACAACAAAGGAGAACAAAGGAGAAAACCTTACGTGCTTGTCGAAGTCAACCTAAAATCCAAGTTACCCACTGACCGCCTGGACCCTCCCTGCAGACCTACAATATATCGCAGAGAGAATGGCTGAGGTGCGGTGCCCTGTGTCTGGAGAATGGGGCTTTGATTTGAATTATGGAAAATACAGTTTTCCCTTTCTAGGTGGCTCCATACCCTATCATGTAGGATGTTGCATTACATAGATATGAATCTGTCTTGCCTCCCCCCATGCATGCACACACACACACACACACACACGCATGCACACGCATGCACACACACACGCATGCACGCACACACAAATGCACACCAGGTTTGGAGTTTCTTCATATGTTAACTGGCTAACTGGCTTTCCTGCTTAAAAGATGCCAGGCCCTTTTAAGTAAGTGAGACAGTCTAATTGCTCCCAAGAAATAAGACCACATCTTTAAAACGTGCCTTTTCTCCCCCCCTCCATAATCTTACGGTCTGGGCGACCTCTGCAGGGATCGGAGTTTATCGGTTTGTCTTGTGGCCCCCAAACTTTACGCGGGGCTTGGCGTTCAGCAAACAATGACAGCATGGTTTGCCTCACAGCCGGCGCCAAGGTTTCTTTCACTGGCCTCGTGTATTAATTGAGTACTGCTAATATTTTGATGGCAATCTTAATGCATAACACGGATGAGCATCCTGCTCGTGGAAGTCTGGTGCTGGAAGGAAGACGGAGGAGGGACTGCACCAGGACACCAGTCTGGCGGAGGCTCTGCCGTCCTAACAGATGACTTCCGGTGTCATCAGTTTCCTGGGTCTGAGAAGGAAGGTGGAGAGCCTAAGGGATGCAGAGAGGCTCCCATCCCACAGGGAACAACTTGATCATTGGGCAGCATCCTACTAGGGTGTCTGGGAAATGAGGTCCAGCGGCCTCTGGAGACATCTCTTCAACCTGGAAGAGCAACACCCTGCCCAGCGGCTGGCCTTCCCCGCTGTCGGGTAGACTCAGATGAGAGAGGGGACAGGTGGTCCAGGGTAGAAATGACAGGGCGTGTGAGAGGCGCGAGGACGTGAAGGGCTTCTAGAACATCTGTTAGCCAGATGAACAGGAACACAATGTGGGCGCGCAGTAAAAATAGAAGCAATTAACGTGGAGAGGGTCCTCTGATCCTTTTTGTTCAGAAACAAAGCAGCTTGCTTCCCGCCTTCTCCATTTCTCTTCTAGGAGTCCTTCTGTTCGTGTTCCGCTCTTCACTCTGTCAGGGAGACGGTGAAAACCTTTCAAGCGCTGTCTTCGCCTTGACTCTGAGTAAGAACGCTATATAATACGAAAGCCTGGACGCTCGTCTTATTCCGGCTTTACCTCAGTGATATACTACTCTGAGGACCTTTACGGCTATGGAAAAAAAAATACAGGTGCCATACCGTGAATAAATAGCTTGTCATCCATTAGCAATGGATTTTTAAGAACGTGTTAGACTGTCAGTGACCTGAGAGTCTCAGAAAGAAAATTCATTTCTAAAGAGGAAGGAGTCACACCGCAGCAATGAAGGCTTGCTGAAGAAAAAAAATTCAGCCGCAATGCCTTCCAGGGAGTCAACCTTGGCGAGAAACAAATTGTTTAACAGTAGACTTAATTAACTCGCGCATGTGTTTTCCATCCCAGCAGGTGTGAAGTCCCAGGGCAGCTGCTGCCACACCTGAGCTGGAGCCCTGGAGGAGCTTCCTGAGGACCTGTGAAAACTGTCGAGGCATTCAGTAAGGCCGTGATGGGCTAGCAGCGCTCTACCGCTGCCTGCAGGGAAGGCTCTGAAGGGAAGGGAAACGCAGGGCTGGGTCCTCTTGTGGTTTGTCTACTGAACGTCTTTTAACTTTCAAAGGACATTTAGCACTCATGGAAGTGCGGTTTGGCTTGCAACGCGGTCAGTCTTCATTAGTAGATGCGTGCCGCTTCCAGATGATAAAGGGGAGGGTCAGGATAGTAAGGGGGTAGCTGAGGTGCAGATGGCCCTTCCTTGGGGCTGGCCTGGTGGAGAGGAATCTCTCGGGTGTACAGTGCTGGGCATGAGGGAGATGATTCCAGAGCCTTTACTCAGAGTTGGCTTTCCGGTTACACAGACTTCAACGCCTCTCTCTTTGGAAATTGTTTTGTTCTAGGTTGAGCTTGCCTTCATTAAATGCCTTTTCCCCTTAGACTTGGTGCTTATTGGAATGTCTATTAAATATGGCAATAAAGTTCCCAGGGACAGAGCGAGCACAGGCATAACTTCTTGTCTAGTTGTTCTTTCAAGCTTGGCTTCCTCCACTAATGGCTGGGCTATGAAATTCACTTGGGTGTCCTACATATAAAAAAAAATACAGTCTCCTTGTTATTAATCTTACTGATGAGACTGACTGCTTTCAATATTTATGATGTAATACCCGCTTGGTAGAAAATTAACCTCTTCAGGCCCCATACAGTTTCTCTTTTTCTGTGAGAGAGGTTGCTGATGTATGATGGTTTTTCGAAGGATAGAACTTTTTGAAGCCTTAGATGGATTCCACCAGAGACTGACGGAATATAGCTATTTTCGTTATTTTGATTTGTCACCCATATTAACATGCTGAGTTATGATATATGTATTTTTATGTATGATTTGTTCATTCCCCAAATACCTGATCGATAATAATGGAGTACTTGCAGTATGACCAGCCGTGTGCTGGCAGCTGTTAATTTAAACACAAACACATGCACATACGCACATGTGCACACACACACATGTGCACACACACACACATACACACCACTCACAAGCAGGTCAGAGAAGGACTCTGAGCACATAGGTTTGTTGGATCTATCATTTTGGGGATACGTGATTTTGAGAATAGATTTTCTGAAATCGTCTTTCATTGTCCCAGCTGACAATCTTCACGGACTGAGGCTGAATCCATGAGGTCATAGTTCATCCTGTGACTCAGGCAAACTCGCCCTGACTGTGACTGAACCACACTACTCTATGCGAGAAGCAGAGACGCGGGTTGGGGAGCCCATTGTGCTCCCCAGGAATCATTTGCGGTTCTGGGGGGAATTAGCAAGGAGTAATTAGCAAGTGGGAATAGCTTAAAAATGGGAAGTACAGGGCTGGAGAGATGGCTCAGTGGTTAAGAGCACTGGCTGCTCTTCCAGAGGTCCTGAGTTCAATTCCCAGCAACCACATGGTGGCTCACAACCATCTGTAATGAGATCTGGCGCCCTCTTCTGGCATGCGGGTATATGTCTGTTGTATACATAATAAATAAATCTTTAAAAAAAAATGGGAATTGAACCTAGAGTGGCTCCCAGATACCCAAGCCGAGGTCCCCAGTTAGTTCCTTGGGCAGCTGAGGATGGGGAACCTGAAATGACCCTATCCTAGAGCAATAATGACGAATATCTTGCATATCATCATAGAACCTTCATCTGGTGATGGATGGAGACAGAGACAGAGACCCACACTGGAGCACTGGACTGAGCTCCCAAGGTCCCGATGAGGAGCAGAAGGAGGGAGAACATGAGCAAAGAAGTCGGGACCACGAGGGATGCACCCACCCACTGAGACAGTGGAGCTGATCTATTGGGAGCTCACCAAGGCCAGCTGAACTGTGACGGAAAAAGCATGGGATAAAACTGGACTCTCTGAGCATGGCGAACAATGAGGGCTGATGAGAACCCAAGGACAATGGCACGGGGTTTTGAACCTACGTAATATGCTGGCTTTGTGGGAGCCTAGCCAGTTTGGATGTTCACCTTCCTAGAAATGCATGGAGGGGGGAGGACCTAGGACTTACCACAGGGCAGGGAAATCTGACTGCTCTTTGGGCTGGAGAGGGAGGGGGAGAGGAGTGGGGGGAGGGGGAGAAGGGTGGGAGGAGGGGAAGGGAAATGGGAGGCTGGGAGGAGGAGGAAATTTGTTTTTTTTTTTTTCTTTTCTCAATAAAAAAAAAAGTTAAAAAAAATGGGAAGTACAAAGCAATGCAATCTATTCTGCCTGGAAAGACCTATGGAGGTAAAGTTACATTTGACATGGGAATTACAAATAGGGTGTTAGTAGGATGGAGAAAGGGTTCAGTCTGCAGAGTGCCTGCCATGCAGTCATGAGCACTTGCGTTCAGATCCCCATGGGGGTGGAACAGAAAAACCAGGTAATGGCAGTGTGCCCTTGGGTTCTCAGCTCTTGGAGAATGCAGACAGCTGGGTCCCTGGAGCTTGCCCACTAACCAATCTAACCAGTAGGTGGACACTGGGCTCAGTAAGCGGTCTTGTGTCTTGTGTCAAAAAGTAGTGTGGAGAGTGATTTAGGAACACCCCTGCTGTCAGCCTCTGCCCTCAACATATGTGAGTGTCTGCACACATAAACAGAAAAGCACATGTGATCACGTGTAGGAAACACGTGATCAGGACAGAAGGAGCGATCAGGATCTGAGCTGGGGGCGAGGAGCGGGGCTAGTAAAGGGAAAGAATGAGGTGGCCATGGCTTTGGGGGTGTTTAGATAACCCTGGAAAACCCTGTATGGCCAAGGGAATGGCGGACAGTGGCTGGACAGGACCACAAAGCAGGGAAAAAACTGGGCGGCAGGGGTGGGGCTGTAGTAATAAGAGCGGCGGGCCTACTTTTCGTCCCGCCCGGCTCCTGCACAGCTAGCTTTACACCAGAAATAACAACACACAAACTGTATTCATTTAAACACTGCTTGGCCCTTTAGCTCTAGCCCTTACTGGCTAATTCTGATATCCCGATCAACCCATCTCTAATAATCTGTGAGCACCGGTCTTACCGGGAAGATTCTAGGTCCATCCTGGGTCTGAGATGAATCGTGTCTGCCCGGGAGAGCAGAGTATGGCGTCTGCTCCCAAGAGGAGAGCTGTGGAGTCTGAGCTCACTTCCTCTTCCTCCCAGCGTTCTGTTCTGTTTACTCCTCCCACCTATCTTCTAACCAATGAGGGCCAAGCAGTTTCTTTTTATTTAACCAATGACCTTCCTCCATCATGGGGCGAGACGGCTAGGCTGGCTTTTAAGCAGGCAAATGAAGAAGCAGAGGAGACAGCTGGCCCGCAGGTGTGGTGGCTGTGAAGGAGTGAGGCTAACGTTTGCTGGTTTTGTGTGTCGACCTGATACAGGCTAGAGTCATCCGAGAGGAAGGAGTTTCATCAGAAGGGCTTCCTTGAGATCCAGCTGTAAGGCATTTTCTCAATTAGTGATCATTGCAGGAGGGCCAGGGATAACGCCAATGGTGGGTGGCGTTATCCCTGGCTGCTGGTCCTGAGTTCTATAAAAAAGCAGGCCGAGCAAGTTAGGCAAAGCATAGCTTCAGTAAAAGCAGCACGCCCCCATCCCCATGGCTTCTGCATCAGCTCCTGCCTCTAGCCATTTTGTATTTTGTTTATCTCTTAGTTGTGAAAATTGGAGTCTGCCCACCCTTCAAGCCCATGTGAGGGGAGCCCACAGCCAACTCGTTGCTCTGGCCTATAGTTAAGATACCTCTGACAACAAGCAAAGCAGTAAAGTGATTACAGACCATTGGAGTTTTAAATTTAATTGAAAAAAGGAATTTTCCACTGGGCATGGTAGCATATTCCTTTAATCCCAGCAGTTGAGAGGCAGAGGTAGGTGGATCTCTGTGGCTTTGCGAGCAAATTGGTCTCCGTACTGAGTTCCAGACCAGGAATGGATACACAGTGAGCTCCTGTCTCAAAAAGCAAAACAACAATAAATCTCAAACTCCCAGACATAAAAAGGCATTTTATTTCTCAAAAAGATGTCAAGGAAAGTAGTAAGCTGCCGGCTGATTTTTTTTTTTTTTTTGGTTTTTGTTTTCATCCAGCAGGACTTTGGAGTGTTAGAGACTGGCTGGGTAGTCACCCGGGGAAAGACCAAGGGACAAAGCTCAGAGGGACCCCAGGAAGAACACTGTATTGTAACAGGGTAGAATTATGGTCCCCGACCTTCCAGAGACCCTCCAGGTGCCATGGCAGCATAGAAGGCCGCTGACGGATATTTTCAACGTTCCAGAAAACGCTAATAAGCCAGACATTGAGCAAGTTCCTACTGTTTACTTGCCCAAACTTTGTATGTGAGGTGGGCTGGTGGACCAGTGAGTAGCGCAGGACCAAGGGAAGCCTGCCACATTGAAGGACTCCCTTGACCAAGGGGCCATAGACCACCTCTCTAGGGACCTAACTACTAGGAAAGGATAGGTCAGGTCCGTGGCTTCAGTTTTTACCTTTGAAGGTGGGAGATGGTGGCTCCCAGAATTATTTTATAGCGACTGTCAACCTAAGAACCGTGCAAGAACTATGGTAGTAGGTAGTGTATACAGCCAGCACACAGGCAGTATTCAGGGTGGGTGCGGTTTCTGGCAGTGACTTTGGACCTGGACAGCTCTCCTCTGCGTGTCTGTCTCCCAAGATCATGGTTGTTAACAGCTGTGACCTTGAGCAAAACTGAAATGGCCAGCTAAAGACCAAGTATGTTAAATATTCCAGCAAGAATAACCACCAGCGTTCTGGTAGGGGACACAGGAAGGAGCATCTTGGTGTGCCCTGCTTTTGCTTCTTTTGCTTCCTCTCTCCCCACTCCCTCTGTTCTCAGTCTTACTTAGTGAAACTGAAGCCCGAGGTTTCTTCCTCCCTCCCTTCTTCCTTCTGTCCCTCTGTCTCTCCATCCCTCCATCCGTCCCTCCCTTCCTTTTTCTTTTGCACAAACTCTGGGCGAAAGTTTAGAGATCCTTCATTTCCACGCAGCAGTAAATGTTGGGTTTTGCTCTGCGAGAGTCTTTCCATTCAGAGACTAAAGAGATCACAGAGAAAGCAAAATCTTGGCCCAAGCTCCGGGCGTGGGGAGCTTCTGGGTAAGAGCCTCCGGACTTGCAGTAAGGGCCACCGCCATTGTCGTATACTGCACAGTGCTTTTCTTGGGGACGGCCTTAATTGCAGAGGCAGGCAGGAGGGTGTGCACATATGTTCCTGCAAAATTCGTTGCTGTTGTTTTTTTCTTAATCAAGTCAATAACAAACTTTAGAAACAAGCTTTTTTTCCAGCAAATGCTAATTATATCGAAAACCTCCCACGCAGGGGCAAAGCAGGACACGCACTACTAGATGAGTGAGCTGTGATTGACTGGGGATCACGGTTGGCAGCGCCGGCAGCGCGAGTCGAGTCGAGGACCTTATAGGCAAGATTATCTAGAAAATCCCCGGCTTCCAAAGCTGCAATCCTTTAAGTCGGCTGTATTTAAATGCAGCTGCAGCACTGATTAGATGTCAGAACTGGGGCACACTGAAGAACTCTGTTTAGTGATTAGCTCAATGGACCAATTTTCCTTTCAGACACTCACGGGGAGGAAGGTTTTGCATACAAATCTGGAAGCAGGCCTGTCATCTTCCTTATCACTCAGAGTCCCTCAGGCTTCTCTGCTTTATCTCTGGCTTCGTCTCTGAGTGAGAGATTCTCGTTAACCAGGAGTGTAACCACAGGCTTTGTTTCTCAGCGCCCTGGCTGTGAGCGGGTCCCTAATTGCTGTGCCAGGCGTGAGTCCATCCTCATTCACAATGTGAGAGACTGTGAGCATCTCGTGTCTCTGGATATTTCAAAACGCACAGGAAGGGAGGGGCAGCAGGCTTGTTGGAGGCATTAGCAGACAGCCAAGGTAGTTAGAAAAGACTAGAGTGCCACCCTGACCTGAGACTCCGCAGGCAGGCGTGTCCTGCAGGCAGGCATGTCCCGCAGGCAGGCGTGTCCCGCAGGTCGTCAAGTGGGGACCCGTAGGAAGAGACAGTCACGTGCATTGGTAAGGCTTTTCAACAACAGGTTGCTATGAACGTTTGCAGGAGCCAGGACAAGAGAACAATGGAACTACACAGCACAGATATTAAAATGTTTAGAAATGGATAAACAAGATACACTCCACTCTTTCCCTGACAAAATAATCCCATGACGGCCTTCAAAACAAGGTCCACTTGAAGATCTCATGTCCTTGGGTCTATGAGCCACCTCTTTCTTTCCTTCCTTCCTTCCTTCCTTCCTTCCTTTCTTTCTTTCTTTTTTTTTTGGTTTTTCGAAACAGGGTTTCTCTATAGCTCTTGGAGCCTGTCCTGGAACTAGCTCCTGTTGACCAGGGTTGGCCTCGAACTCACAGGCCTGTCTCTGCCTCCTGAGTGCTGGGATTAAAGGCTCGCGCCACCACCGCAGGGCCAAGCCACCTCTTTCTTAACCTTGACGCCTTTCCATTTTGGCCAGAGAACAGAGTGGATCCGTCCCTAGTGGGCTGCCCAATATTTTGTCACTTGATTATGAATCACTTGGATAATCCCCTCACATTTTTCCTTCCTGACAAGTCGGACTCCTTCTGAGTGGCCCAGGAGGAAACTGGCCACTTCCGTGGGCTGAAAGGGACCACTCTGGATGTGATTGACTCATCTCCTGAATTCACAGGTCGGAACCCTCTCACCTCTTAGGAACAGCACACAGGTA